AGAAGAGAAGAGAAGAGAAGAGAAGAAAGAAAAGAAAAGAAAAGAAAAGAAAAGAAAAGAAAAGAAAAGAAAAGAAAAGAAAAGAAAAGAAAAGAAGAAAAGAAAGACTAGTTCCATGGTAGAGCCCCTGCCTAGAACCCAGCACTGAGGGCCTGAGGATGTGGTTCAGCAGTTAGAGCCCCTGCCTAGAATCCCCCAGTGAAGGGCTGTGGGCCATTGGTAGAGTGATTGCCTAGCATGAACAAGGCCGGTGGTTCAATCCCTGGCGGCACGCGCACACACACACACACACACACACACACACACACACACACACACACACACACAGAAGGAATGCTGTCCGGTTGTCCACTGTGACTTCAGAGACTTGGTATTTTAAGGGTCTCTGTTTGGGTTCCCTCCAAGGGGTGGATGGAGGTGAGCATCAGTAAGGAGGCTGAGCTGAGTGGGCTCCTGAGGCCACGGCATGGCCACAGTGGCAAAAGGCTGCCACTGGACAAGTGAGTTTGACTCTCACCTGGCTCCTGGATCCTCCGGCCGAGCGCTCATCATCCCCTGGGTTGTCACACTGTGAGGAAAAGATGTTTTGTTTTGTTTTTTCTCAATCTCCCACTGATCTACAATCTCAGCCCCCATGGTCTCAGTACAGCAATCAGCTCCCCTTGGGAGACAGCCACACCCCATATTCAGCCAAGCCTCATCCCCGGCCCCTCTTCCAGCATCTGTGTCCACCCATCCCCGGCCCCTCTTCCAGCATCTGTGTCCACCCATCCCCGGGCCCTCTTCCAGCATCTGTGTCCACATGCCCTCCCTGACCACCCACCTCAGGTTTGTTTCCACCGCCGCTTCCACCTCTGCTGCCCGAGGACGAGCCAGTTCCCTGCAAGGAAAGAATCCGCACAATGTCTTAAAAGTGTGTGCTAAGGGACCCAGGAGTTCCCCAGCCATCTCTCCAGCCTCCATTCTTCCCTCACCTTCGGTTGCTAGGGGCAACTGAATTTCAGTAAAAGAAGGCCAAGTATGGCCTGGAGTTTGGAAATAGGCAGTGATTTGGGGAATCTGAGCTGTTAGTTCTCCAACACACACACACACACACACACACACACAACTATAAGAAGCTGCCACTGTGGGTGAGGCTGAAGAGATGACTCAGAGGTTACGAACACATACTCTTCCAGAGGACCCAAGTTCAGTTCCCAGGACTCTCACGACCGCCTGTAACTCCAGCGCCAGGGCCCATCAGTCTAGCTGCCATGGGCTCCCACATTCATGAACGGGTACCTACATACACGTACACACCTCACAAAGCATTTCTTAAAGAAGCTGCCGCTAGGGGACAGGCTAGGGCATGTTCCACCCCCGCCCTTCTTTATGCACCCTTTCTTACAAAATAAAAATAAAAAGAGGGGACCCTGGAGTCCTTACCCTGGAGACTGAATAGCCTTCATCAAAATTAGACGTCTCTATTTCCTGAATGGGGAGAGAGGCACTCTCAGACTCCGCACACAAAGGCACTGGTGATGTAACAGCGCCTTATTTATTTATCTATTCATTCCTGTAGCCCAGAATAACCCTGAACTCATTTTAAGTAGCCGTGGATGACCCTAACTCCTGATCCTGCCGCCACCCCGGGGAGCTAGGATTCCATGAGTCACCACACTAGGCTTGTATGGACCTGGGGGTGGAACCCAGGACCTTGTACATGCTAGACCAACACCCTCTGCCCACCTCGTGCCAGCAGCCTCCATACGTGCCCCCTTTGACCCCTACGGAAACTTGTGCGGCCCGAGTTTGACACTTCTCTTGGGGCTCATTTCTGGGGTGCTCACTTCTAGCTCTCTCGCCCATCACATGGGGGCCTCACATGTGCAGTGACCAGTGTTGTCTACACCACAGCCGTCGTTGAGTCTCCATGACGACAGCCCACCCCCACCCCGTTCTCCCCAAGCATCCCAAACAAGTTGTTTGCTTTGTTTGAGATGTAGCCCTGGCTGGCCTCAAACTCACAGAATCCTCCTGCCTCAGCCTTCCAGGTGCTGGAGAGAACAATATTATCCTATGCCTACCTGTCTTCTTCCTTCCCCTCACCCTCAGTTCTACTCAGCAAGGAGCAAAGGTTAGACCTGAGCCAGAGCTATCTCTCCACGGTAGCTTGCACAGGAAGGGAGTAGGCAGTGTAGGAAGTCAGAGCCCCTTCATAAGGAACCCTGTAATTAGGGCTGGGAGGGTGGGGAACCAGGACTCTCAGGATGACCCTGTCACTGAAGCCATCCACTCTAGGGTTGTGACAGCTGTAAGAGAAACCCTAGAGCCCGGGTCCTCACCATCAGGACCGTCACCCCATCCCAAGGAAGAAACTTACCCGGGAACCAGAACTGCCGCTGCCGCTGCCGCTGTTGCCTTGGCCGCTGCTGCCGTGGCTGCTGCCGTGGCCACTGTTGCCGTGGCTGCCGCCGCCATGGCTATTGCCGCTGTTGCTGCCGTGGCCACCATTGCTGCCACCATTGCCGCCACCATTGCCGCCACCACTGCTGCTTCCCTGCGAGCCAGAAGAACAGCACAGTGTCTAAGGGCAGGGTCCCTACACTTGCCCTTGTCCCTGCATAACCCCAGCCACCTAGAAAGTAATGCAGCCCAGCCTTCCCAGACCTGAACGCAGGCCACGCCTCCTCTTACCTCATAGTTGCTTTCACGGGAGCCAGATGGTGGGGGGTTGGTACACTGTGGATGGAAGGGGACCCCACAAGGGCAGAGATGTCAAAGCCACGGCCACAGGCCAGGCCGCTCTGCTGCCTGGGTCGTGGCTTCCTTGCCCCCTTCCAGTGCTCTCCCTCTTCCCTGGCCTGCGGCCTCCATCCCTTCCCTTCCTCTCCCTTTCCTCGTTGCTCCTCCCCTGCTCTGTCGCATACACCCGGACACCCTTCCCGTCTACCTTACCCCGGAGTTTTGGTTGTTGCCTCTCACCGACCCGTAGCCAGGCTGAGCCAGAGCTCCCTGCAGGGAGGGCGAAACCCAGTTCAGGATCCAGACCACAAGGTAGGGTGGGGAGGGCAGGGCTGAGGGATGGATCTGGGTGGTGACTTTACCTGAGCATTGGTCTCATAGTTGAATGACCTGCCGTCACCACCCTGACCCACAGAGCCACCCTGAGAGTTGGTTCCAAAGTTGCCTTCTGAGGCCCAGGGGGTCCCTTGACCACCGGGATTGCCATGGCCTCCAGCACCACCTTGAGAGCCAAACATTCCATGGCCTCCAGACGTCCCCTGAAAGGACAATACACCCATCCTTAGTGTGCCCATCTCTGGCAATCATAAGAGAGAGAGGGAGCCGGCACCATCCTGGGGTGGGGGGAGGAAGAGGAGAGGAGATGCATGACAACCAAAGCAACAGTCCCAGACAGCCACCCAGGAACCATCTCTTCACCCTGGACCCATTTCTCGAGTTCTTGCCCCGACCAGCACACCCAGCTTCCCAGCCACTCACCCAAGACCCGGAGTTGTGGGCAGCATCCATCCCACGTCGAACGACATCCTCAGCCTGTCTGCGGACCTCGTCCCCAGCATTCCCCAGAGATCGAGCTGCCTCCCCGAGCCTGTGGTCGAAAGCGTCCCCTCTGGCCCCCCTCAGTGCATAGCCACCTTCCTCGCCGTGCCCCTGGCCAAGGGCGTTCTGGATCCCAGAGCTGGCTGCTTCCTTCGCCCCCTCGCCCACAGCCTCTCCGATGGCATCGCCCACCCCTTCTGCGGCACTTGAGCCCGTGCCCTCGCCTCCGCTCTGCAGTGGGCTAGCTGCCCCGCTTCCCAGACAGAGGGCCAGCAGCAGGCAGGCCAGGGACCCCCGGAGCTTCATCTCTCCCCTCAGGATCTTTACAGCCCAATCTGTTTCTTGTTCCTTCTCTCTTCCTCTGGACTATGGGACCTCCTGCCTTGTTCTCTCTGCTTCTGACTCCACCTCCCTCAGGACCCACAGCCTCCTCTCTCTGTTCCCAGCTCCCCTGCTTTCCAGAGGCTTCCTTCTTGCCACTGCCCCTTATACTGTAGGTTCCGAGAAGGTAGCAGGGCTGGGCAGTCCAGGATCCCTCCTCCAGTGACTCAGGGCCTATCCACCGATAAGGTAATGAAGCTTAATTGTGAGTGAGAGCCTGTGTTGAAACAGAGAGAGCCGGACATCAGGGAGGGGGAAGGCTAGGTGAGACGGATGCAAAAAGTGTTCCAGTTGCCTAACCTCAGGAATTTGGGGCACAGGGTGGGGACAGGAGCATCCGAGGAGATGGGTGTTGATGTCTTCTGGAGGTGTCAGGGCGGGGGTACTTAGGAAACAGGACTCACAAGCAGGTGAGACCCCAAGGGTGTAAGGAGAGGGAGCCACAATAATAGAGGAGCCATCCTGGGGAAGCCAGCGTGCTCAGGGGCATGAAAACAGGAGAGAGGTGGCCTTTCTTGGTCTCTTCTGAAGTTCAGTGGGCATTCCCTGCTCTCACCTCTCCCCCAGCACGCCTCCACCTGCAGGTGAATGTCCTTACACACTTCCAGGGTTCGGGAGACACCGGGAACTCCGGGACTGCAGTTAAGTTCTGAGGTTCTGGGGACCCTGGTGTTGAAGGAATGGGACACCTCTGTGAGTGACCCTGCAAGGAAAGATTTGGGCATCTGTCATTGAGAGCTCAGGGGCCCTGGGAGTGGAGCAGGGCAGCTGGGCGGGTCAGCCACCCCAGGGGAAGAGTGGGCGGGAAAGACCAGGGGAGGGAGAAGCTGACCCAGACACCCATCCTGTTTACCTGGATGGAGGGCCATGCGTGTCTGTAAGAGCTCTCAGCCACTGTACTGCCTACTCACCACCCGTAACCTCCCCAGGGGCCAGGGAAGCCGTGGAGAGGGAGCAGGGGTCGGCACAGGATCACCCTCTGGCCCTCACCCTCGGTCACGGTTCCAGTGGGGAACCCGAGCATCCTCCCCACATCTCATCCCTGTTTGACAAGTGTGACTGCTTCTCTGTTCCCAGGGGCCCCGGGCCCTCCCACTTGGAACCGTCTTGTATCACTGGGCTTCATCACCTAGTTAGGAGGGGCTGGTTTCCATCTGCCTTTCTCAATGTCTCTCAGTCAGTCTCTCCCCACCCCAACATCCGCACCCCAACTTGTAACATTCAACACTTCTCTGTGTATAAACACCATTCCTGACTGCCCTCCGCTCCTGCCTCCCAGCTGTTCCATCACTGACATTTAGTTACAATAGTACTAACACTATAATAATAATCACAGCTCCGGTTTGTCAAAAGCTTTCTATGTGCCCAGATTTCTATGCCGGCTTCTGTATGGTAAGAATCATCCAACCCTGAAAGATGGCTCTTTTTATTGCCCCATTTAGAGAGGTAGACACTACTGCTCAGAGAACACTGAGGGCCTGTAGCCGAACCAAGAGCCAAGCCCAGACCTGCCTTTGGCGGAGCCTGAGCTCCTAAGCCGTGTCTGTCACTCCAGTGTGTCACACCGACCCTTGCTTGTCTAGATGGAATTGATTTTGATTTTGCTCTGCAGTTATGTGGGGAGAAGGGATGCAGGGGGAAGTCTGGATCCCCAGGAGGAGTGCCAAGCCTCTAGTCCCTGAGCCCACTGATCCCACTCACAGGTTGGGCCGAGGAGGAAGTCAGGACAGAGAGCTCACTGAGTCAAAAGCTCTCTTATGGTCCCCCTGGCCAGGTTTCCGGTGCCTGCTCCTGCACAACTGCCCTGTTCCATCTCCATCAATGCTCGCTTTCTATAGACCAGCTTACTTTCTTACTGAAGACTACCATAGGAGCCTGGCATGGCGGCACACACCCCAACACTTGGAAAGTTGAGTCAGGAGAACCGTGAATTCAAGGCTGGTTCAGGCTGTATAGCAAGACCCTATCTCAAACAAACAACAACAACAACAAAGAATATCATAAGAAAATATTTTATGGGTTGGCCAGATGGCTCAGCAGGTAAAGGCACTTGCCACCAAGGCTAGCCATCCGACTTTGATCACCTGACCTCATATGGAGGATTCAAAGTTGTCTTCTGACTTCCATACATGCACCATGGGGCATGCACACACAGAGAAACATACACACAAAATAATAATAATAATAATAAAGAATACTTTATATCACTCATAAAAATAAGAAACAAGGATCATCTGTCCTAGGTAGAAATTACCAGAAAAACACAGAGTAAAGCAAAGAATAGCATTGTTTTGTAGCTGGCTACAGTTCCTGGGTCTCCTTTGTTGTAAAGGAAAGTTAGCTGGAGAGATGGCCGGTGATTAAGAGAGCTTGCTGCTCTTCCAGAGGACCTGAGTTCAGTTCCCTGTGCCTACATCGATTGGCTCACAACTGGCTGTAACTCCCCTCCAGGGGATCCAGCACCCTCTTCAGGACTCTGTGGCACCTGCACCCTGGTTACAGGACAACAAGAAATGGGTCTCTGATTTCTCTGATCCGGAAACTCTCTCCCTGCTGGCTGGCTCTCACAGTGCTGCAAGGTGCCATGCTCACTGCTGGAAGAGAAAATGGTCTTCTCCAGGGTTGGGCCCTGCACTCTGCAGTACCACACCGCCATGAAAGTTACACCCTCCGGGGCATTAGTGGCACAATGGCTGTGAGGGTAACCAATCGCTTTCTGATCGGATCTGAGACCTGCAACACAGGAGGGATTTTCTGTTTGGTCCTGTAAACCTGGCAAAAGCCCATGGCTCGAGAGACCATAGACCCTGGAGGGAGACGTACTGGTGTTGATTCACTAAGTGGTCATGTGGTCAAACTACTTTCTCAGTCTTTATGTATATACTCATAGATTTTTAATGCTCTCGACCTTGATTGGAGAAGCTCCTTTTTTCAGTGGGCAGTGGTTACCATAGAGACTCCTAACTGGTCAATATGCTGAGAAGAAGCCACTGTGGGTGTTCAGCCACTGTTGGGTCACCTCTATCAACCAAGGGAGTCAACATTCCCGCACCGGTGGCAGAGGACTCCTGAGGACCCACCCCTAGCTGAGGTGCTGTTGGCAGTTGACTGCTTCTGAAGGAGAGCTAGTCACTTTTCTTGGGAATGTGGCCACTGGTAGGCTGCCCATTCCCCAGCAGATGGTTCCATCATAACCACTTGCCCATGGTCAGCACTGCTGGACTCAGGGGCTATGAATAGTAACAATAACAAAAAAGAGGGAGGTGGCTGGTGGGTCCTGGGGGAGTTGAGGGGAGGTAATGGGGTGGAAACAATCAAGATATGTTGTGTATGTCAGGTCCAAAGGAAACTCCGTTTCCCCAAATTCTGGCCATTAGACAAAAGGCAGCATTCCTCATGAACTTGTGAAGGGACACCTCTACCCAAGGAGCTGTTCCTCTTCCAAGGGTGATCTGAGGTGCCTATTAACATACCAAATTGCATGCTGGCCTCCGGGCTCCCTCAGTATCTCAAGTACCTAGTTCTTCCCTCACAGCCCTCCGAAGCTCGCAGGCTTCCCTCCCCCGCACTCATTTCTCCCTGTACCCCTTGCTATTTCGGCTACGGCCTCTCATGTCCTCTCTCTCACCCTCTCTTTCTTGCCCACACTCTTTTTCTCTTGGTCTCCATCTCCCACCCCAACCCCACCCGGCTTCTGCTTCTCTCCCGGCCAGGTCCAGTCTGCTGGCCATGTTCAGTCTACTCTGCTCTCTCTCTGCCCTGGACTCTTCCAGATGCCTCTGGCTGTTGTCTCCCTCACATCAACAATAAAACCCTTCCCCTCGGCCACACCAGGGAGCCGTCATGTTGTCAGTTTATACAGTACATATGTGTATGAAATTTTCAAGGTATTTTTTTGTTAATTTTAATGAGCTGTGTGTGGTGGTGCACATCTCTGACCCCATCACTCCAGCTGCTGAGGCAGAAGAATCCTGAGTTCAAGACCAGCCTGTGCAACTCCCTATCCCCCCAAAAATTGAGGGTGGCTGGAGTGATGGGAGCTCACAGCCGTCTGTAACTCCGGTTCCAGGGGATCTGACGCCCAGAAGCTCTTGAGCCAGCTGGCTTAGAGTGCACATCTGCAAACAAAAAGGTGGACGACAGGGGCCAAGACTTGAGGCTCTGGCATGTTAATGACACCCACACGTACAAGTACACAAGTGAACATACGTGTACACACATACATATCATATACAAACAAATAAATAAACAAAGATGTTAATTACTATTTTGTGTGTATTAGTATTTTGCCTGTGGACCGTGTGCGCGTGCACGCGGTTGCCAGGAAACAACATCAACATCAAATTACCCTAGAACAGGAATTGCAGATGGTTGTGAGCCGCCATGTGGGTGCTGGAAACTGAACCCGGGTCCTCTGCAAGAGCAACAAGTGCTCTTAAACCCTGAGCCATCTCTGGCCTAACAAACCTTTTTTTTTTTTAATCACAGGGGTGGGAGTAGGAGCCTCAGGTCATAGTGTGGCCCAGACCTGACTCCGACTTGGTCCCTCAGCATCAGCATGCAGCCTTGTTCTAGCACCTAATAGCATCCTGTCTGAGCCTGTTTTAGACTCTTTCTCTCTCTCTCTCTTCTCTTTACTACCTCACACACCAAAACTTATCAGGTGGTGGTCAGAGCTGTAAAGAAAGCTGCCATTGGGGGGGTGGGGGACGAGAAAACCTAGCTGGTATTTTCAGCATTCAGGGTAATCAAGGAGAGGTCTTTCAGATCACCCGGTAGACTGACATCTACAGGAGGAAAACAAACCACCAGAGGTAGAGAACCCTCAAGCAGGACAGCATGCAGAGGCCCTGGGGCAAGAGCCTGGTGACTGCTTAAAGACCACTGGGCTGGACCAGGCAGGAAGTGGGAGAAGCCAGGGTCAGAGAGGGAGGAAGACTTGGGATTGTTGTGAGGACTTTGGTGTGGGAACCACTGCTGCTTTGGGGAGCCCTCTGGGGTGGGGAGTCCTCAGGAAACGAAGGGAGGCTGACGGAGGCTGGCTGGAGGATGGCCTTGGGTCCGCACAGGTCCTTACCCCGTGCTATGGGTTCCTGGTCTCAGCCTGAGCTGCCGCATCCTGTTCCTCTCCTGAGCCCACGGTACTACTCACCAGGTCATAACCCTTCTTTAGACGCGGCTTCCTCTTCTGTAACGACAGGGAGAGTCGAGGCTCGGCTGCAGCGGACACCGGAAGGACTTGAAACAGTGCTCCCGGGGCCCCAGAGAAGGTCTCCTGAGGCAGCGGGGCTCGGTGACTCGTCGGGATGCTTTCTTGGTTATTGTTATCGTTCTTGGTGATGTTTGTTTGTTTGTTTGTTTGTTTGTTCGTTTGTTTTCCAAGAACAGGGTTTCTCTGTGTATAGCCCTGGCTGTGTTCTTGATGATTTTTAAATTTTTGTTTTGATTTGTTTTTGCTTTGTCTTGTTTTGTTAAAGCATTTAGTGTGTGTGTGTGTGTGTGTGTGTGTGTGTGTGTGTGTGTGTGTGTGTGTGTGTG